TACCCGTGGACCTTTTACACCCTACTTTAAACAAGGTCCACAGGGCGTCGCGGTCGAGGCACGCCATGCTAGAGTCGACTCGATCATGGCGGAAGCGGGAGTACGCCGCCATGGAGAACCAGTTTCTGTATCTCTGGATTCCCTTTGTCGGTCTCCTGGTAAGCACAACCGTGGCACCTGGTGTCTTGTAGTCGCCAGACTAGAGGAACTCGGCGAAGCGGCTAAAGGTGGCTGCGTCGATGTACTGCCACGCATACACTTCTTCTTCGGGGCGGTATCCAAGCAGGGTCTCGCCACATCGCTCGAAGGAGGTTTCCGGGTCCGGCCAGACAACCAGATTCGGAAACCACTGGCGGATTGCGCCGCTGTGGTGCGTGAAGCGGCGTTCATCGGATCCGACTATAAAGGTGATTGGGGCAGAGGACGTGACTCTGCGGGTTTGGTGAGAATCGCAGCTACTATTTAGGTCAAGGGGAGCAAAACTCACGATTCGTAACACGTCTGGACCATTTCGGCCTTGTTAACAGAGATTGGTGGATGTTTGGATGGACTCAGAATACCGGGATTGAAGTAAAAGCGGAAAGTTCTCTGTTGGATGCAAACATACCAGTCATCACTGGGACGGGAGTGAATGTCAAGGGAGTTTAGCGCAACAGTCACGGGTAAATTTTCCTCTGACAGCTGGCAGACAGCTAGGATGTCTCGTTTGCCTGACCAAGGTTTATTTTCTAAGCTTAGAAGTCTTGCACCAAAATGGATGAGAAAGGTACAAAGTGAATTGCGGAGCTCCATCTCTACGCCATGGCAGATCTTTCTCATCCAGCTGGTCCTGGTATAATGAAGCTGTTGGGTTCGAACTAGAATTGGAGTTCGAAGCACTGGAACACGGTTTAGTTGGCCAATTCCGCTCTTATTTCTGAAAACCTAATAGCGGCAATCTCCATAAGATGACTGAGACTGGCGACGAGAGCCAACACTGCCTTTTCATTTCAGATATGCACACATATATATAGGCTCCTTAAAAAGAAAAGAAGAAAAAACTTAAGATATAGACTTCTTAAGCTACATGCTGTAATAATCATCAAATCATATCTGATGCCAGCTCAGCATCATTTTCTTGCTTCATCCTTGGCGCAGTTGTACGCATGCGTGACCTCGAGGCGAAAGCGCATTCACCGAATTTCCATATACATTAGGAGGATCGAAAGTCCGTCGTCCGAAACAATCACTCCAGGGTTAATAGCGTGTGCTATCGTCAACTTCGGTCTTGTCTAAAATATCCAGAGCAAATCGCTCTGTACCCTATAGTTCCTACTTTGCTAATATGTAGCCCATTCCATCATGCCGGATGTCCAAGAGGGCTAGCTACAGATTTACAAAGAGATAATGCAGCTTAGTCTATCTAGTGTACAAGTAATACAATCGGGTAGCTTATCTATCCAATTCTCTCGGCCTCTTCAAGCAGCTTTTCAACGCTAAACCTAGAGTCACCGCTCCCAAACCACTCCACCAACTTCTTTCGTTCATCGGCTCTCTCTTTTCTTGAGCCATCGAGCTCGGCTTCGGTGCTTTCCCAGGCCCCGTAGAATCGCTGGAGGCACATGACGAGCCATTTGGCGTGTTCAGGTTGCACACCCCGATCTTCCATGGTCTGTCCTTGCATCAACACGAGCCCCTTATCATCAGCCAAGTCGAGGTGGTGCGTCACCGTTGTGTGAGGCTGGGCGAACTCGCCGCGGGTTTTGAACTCTGCCAGCTGAGTAAAGAGCACGGTGCTGGTGTTGGACGCGGCATCGAAGGTCCACTGCAAGAAGTGAATCTCGGCCCCCTGGCTCTCGTGAGGCACCGGTAGAACGAACTGGGGCGACTTGCGTGCCATTTCCTCCATGGCTTTGTATGAAGCTGTGGGAATGACTGCGCAGAGTTTCTGGGGTGAATTGGCGTGCCGAAGTCTCCAAACTGCAGTCAGCTCCTTTTCCGGGAGCTCGCGGATTTTCTCAACGTCCACAATCTCGTCTAATGATTGTATAGCAGCTTTGCCATTTGCATTTGCTGGTGCAGATGCTGCCTTGGCGGCCTGTTGGGACGGAAGTGGCCCTCGGTTCGGCTGCGAAACAGGAGTCTCCGGAGCTTGGGGGATTGTGGGAATCGGATATTCAATGGCGTCCTTCTTGCGCTCGGCATCGATTTTATCGGCATATGCAGATTTCAAGTCGTCAATGCTGCCATGTCCCTCCTCCTTGGCCTTTTGGTTAAGCTTCTCGCGGTACTTGTCAAGCACGGCTTGCGGTGGTTTCTTTGTGACTAGAAATCTGACATCATGGACCTGGGCCCATCGACGCTGGGTTTGCAGGCGCGCGGCAGACCGCAAGGGATAGGTCGCCAAATGACGGAGAGCTGGTATCCTTACGGAAGCCATTATTTGTAAGTTTGCATCAGACCTACGGCGTTGATGCGCAAGTCGGCCGTGTCGTTGCAGGAAAGATGCAAGCCAAGCGACTCGAAATTGGTTGGCATCTCGATGCGATCATGGCAAGCCAGACCCGCAGCAGCTCGAGAACCGTTGGTGGGGCCAGTGGATTCGTCTCATTCACAAAAGTCTGGTTGACCCCACCATCAATTGCATCCCGACCTCGGGCGAATTGCTGCGGGCCATCAAACCTTCAAAATCCATTTCTAATATTTGGACGACTATTGGGCTACCGGTTGCAGCTCACGCTTCCGCTGACAATAATCAAGTGGTTTTCAACGCCTTGCTGCACTGTGGACCGCGAGGTCGTCCAGTTGGCTCTGGTTGTTTGCGTCGCCAATCGTCTCTTGCTGCCCCTCTCACTTTGCGACTCAATATACCAAGGAGAACGCAAGCACATGTTGGCAGACAACTCCGTCGCATAACTCAAATAGTCAGGCATCTTTCGAAATACAGGCAGATTGTTATCACCAGGGAAGCGGGTCGTGCGTCACGCACCTCAAGGCATGGCTGATTTTCGCCAGCTCGCTCTAGACTTTGTTCTGGAGGACAACAAGGCGAAATCAGTCCGCTTTGCCCAGAAAGCTGCCAAGGGTTCGTATACTCGGCTCAGCACTTATGCATGTTCAAGTTTCAATGTCTAATTTCTGGACAGAGATTGAAACCGCCTCTCCAAATTCCAACCCTGTAGCACGATGGGTTGAGTCTGTTCAACCATGGATGCCTGGCAGCAATGATGATGATGTGATGCGGGATACCGACGACACACCAGACTGGACCGCAAGATCAAGAGGTTCTGCATCTAATTTTACTGAAATATTGTTCATTCTGACTAATTCCCAGCAGCATTGGAGTTCTTGTCCCGGACATTGTACTATCTGAAGCCGGAGGCCCTCAAGCCCAGCCAGGGTAAGTTCCCATAGCCGCTGGTCTATGTACTGCCCGATATCTTACAACGTGCAGTCAATCTCCTCGTCACATTCTTCGGAGCCATGTTTGATGTCGATCATAAGGCTGGTATCCTACCGTCGGCGACTGCACTTTCGCGAATTATTGCCATGAAGTCATTTCACCCAAATAGTGGCAGGGACATTATCCAAAAGGTGTGCACTCTTAAAGAAGATTTTCCTCGACAAGTATCGAAAACTCGCCTTGCCGTCTACGAGCTGCTCAGGTCCGTAGTCAGCAATCCAGAGGTCGCCAAGGACCTTCAGCAGCGGGACGGCAATGATACCGTATTTATGAAGGATCTTCTTCACCTCTGCCAAACTGAGAGGGATCCTGATTGCTTAATGGTTTGGTTTGATATACTTCGACTATTTCTTTCCGAGTATTCGCCATCCGAAGAAATGTTGGAGGAGATTTATGGAACATTCAAGGCGTACTTTCCCATCACCTTACCTCGCACTGCGCAGAGTGGTGTGACGCCTGAGGAACTGAAGTTGCAGCTGCGCAAATGCTTCTCATCAACTCATCGTCTTGCTTCGCTCTCTCTACCTTTTCTCATTGGTAAATTAGACCAAGGAGATGGTGTGACAGTCAACGTGAAGGTATGTTGAGCCTGACCAGGCTCGGTACTGTTAAGCTTACAAGTGTCACAGGTTGATGTTTTGCGGACAATAAGGGCTTGCCTGGAAGAGTATAAAGACCCAACGGAATCAATCACGCCATATACCAACAGAATATGGACCAGTTTGAAATATGAGGTCAGAAACGGAGAAATCGAAGACACGATTTGGGCAACGCTCGAAGTACTGAAGGCTCTTACGACGAGACTGGCCGGCGACGACCTGCGCGACTACACATTGACGGTTACAAGAGACTGTGTAGTTGATTTGGCAACACCAATGTATACTACCGCCGCTGGTCGATTGCTCGTTAGTGTGCTCAGCGCCAACCCAAGCGCCTTTGTTCTCATGGTAGCGCCGGCAGTTACGCACATCAAGGAGAACCTTCGTCACCCAAAATCACCGACACACAGCCAGGATCTTCTGAAAATTTTGCGCATCATTCTCGAAACACGCCTACTCCTCACAGACGTGGAAATGTCAGAACATGATAAAAATGACTTCGCAGCGGTGGACGGAGTTTTCAAGACTCTATATGCTGATGTCTACAAAGGGCCTTTGGGACTGTTCGCAAAGCCCGGCGCATCTGATGAGGACTTCAAACTGTCCACAGAGGCAGCGCAAGGTGTTGGCGCTCTCATTGGGCAGAGGGTAATCAACCCCTTGGCTTCCGATGCAGGGCACAAGACTTCAGACCTGCCGTTGCTGCTACCCGTATCAACATGTGCTGAAAGCTGCGAGACACTGTTTAACATTTCCACAAAACAATGGGACGAAAGGTCAAGGAGAATTGGCGCCGATGAGCTGGTCAATGAATCCGTCAAGGCTCTTCAGAGGATAATCCAGGCATATCCTGGAGGCTTCCCGTCGATAGTTGCTAAAGCCTCATCTATCCTTCGACAATCGATGGTCAATCTTACGCATGACTCCTTAGACACTATCCAGTCCCTGGGCCCGCTCCTGGCATATATTGGCTGCTCATCTTTGTCAGCAAACTTAGAACTGTCACTTGGACAGTTTGTCCAAGTCATGAGGACTATTGAACTGGAGTTGTCGGCGGCTATTGACCAGACAACTAGCCCAAGAATATGGTGTTCTTTGGTTGCTGGAATCCACTCAACTGTGAGATATTTCAATGAGGCCTGCTTAGAAAAGGATGTAAAGCCCGGTGCAGTGGAGGAGGGGACTCTATCTTTGGACCGAATTATCGTCAAGTATCCTCAACTTTCTTCAACGAGCGCCTCTGGCGAGCTTGCCTTACCAACAGTTCAGTCAACCTTGAACTCTGTTGCTGAAACTCGTAGCGACGCTTTATTGATTGGTCTTCATATAGTGGGCTCACTATATCGTCGGGCAACGCAGTCAACCGAAACTGGGGGTCAACTTGCGAAAAGCAGCGACTTCAATGGCTCAGAACCACACCAGGAACTCCGATATCTTTCTCTACTATCTGAACTGGCTGGTTTCATTGTCCACGAACTCAATGAGTCTCAGCAGGCTTCCCTCGAGGTAGAGAAATATGCACTGAACCTCTTCCGCGGAGAAGAGGTAGATGTATCAGCGCCATCATCATGGACTTGGTTGACCTCTGGGTATTTGGGTATCCTGTCCCTCGGAATATTGGAGTCTGTGAGGCCTTCTAGAATAGCCCAACTTGTAAGTGCGCTACCGTTGAGCAGACCTCAATGAAGCTAACATGGCGAACAGTACGAATCTGGCGTGGCACAACAAATCCTAACTGAAGGGACAGCTACTGGTGGCTCTGTCGGTGGAGTCGCATTGCGACCTGTGAGGAGATCCATCCTTGCGATATTGGCGAATAAACACAATATTGAGACACTTGACTCGGTCATGGCGAATGTGACAACCAGCTTGCGAGATGCTTTGCAGAAGACCAGAGCAGACAATGCAAACGACTCACTGGCAACAAATATGGAAGCTTGCTTTTCCATATTTTCCTTGGTAGGAGGACTCTTCAGACGATACAGTGGCAGCAAAATTCAACCTTTGATTCAATTATTACGTACCGCCCCGAACGATGTTCAGTCCGGCTATCAGCTTGGACGAGGATTGGAAATCATCGTCGCCCCCCAGAGATTTCTAACAAAAGAAAACTTTGCCGTTGTCCGACTCCTCTGGCTCCAGAAGATCTACGTTGAGCTCATCAAACCCATGCTAGAAGTCGCCCTAGGCAAAGACTCTAGCATTACCGATCCCATCATCAGGACCAACTTCAGTATATCCGTGCTACTGATGGTCAAACACTTGAACTTTTCAATCTACGAACAGGACGCAGACAAGATTCTACGAATCGCCATCGCCATCGCACAGAATCTCGGCATCGGATCCGACGGCATGGCTGCCTTGCAAGTTATCAAGGATATCCTTGTAGAAGCTTCCGAACAGGCCCAAGACCACATTCGCAGCCTCATCAAGATCTGTGCCAGTACTTTCGCAGACAGACAGCAAACACCAGGTCGACCGGATTGGTTGCCCGCTGAATACGGAGCCGTAGTTCCTAGTTTAGAAGAACAGGCTGGCTGTGGCAAGATAGCATTAGAGATTGTAGGGGGGTTGCCGCGAATGTTTGAGCCTCGCCATTTGTTGGCCTATGAGCCACAGGTTCAACGAGATTTATCAACTGCTTGTGGTCATAAGGTGCGTGAATTGAGGAGTACGGCGCGGTTGGCGCGGGGTGCGTGGGCAAATGTGAAATAGATTCCAGCATATGGTGGTGATTGGAGGATTTTGGATAGTGATACCACGGGGTAAATGTGAGGCTTTATAGATTCATCGAATAGTTCACACGACGGCTTACTATCAGAGTTACTCATAACGAGTTATTCTCAAGAGAATTAACTGCTTCTATACATCCAGGATAGTGCTAGCACCTGGTATGTTGATTCATTTTGTAAGCTCAACGCCATGCCAACTCGTTCCCTCATCCCATGTCGCAGCTCAGTCATCCACCCAGCATCCTAAACTAAGCCTTTCTCCGCTTACCCTTCGACTCAGTCGCATTCGCACCCGTGGCATTACCAGTAGCACCAGTGCCCGCCAACATGGCATCCAACACCTCCGTATTAGAACCATAAACGTCCTGTGAAGCGGACATGATCTTCTTAGGGTCCTGCTTGCCAATAGCCGGGACGGAAGTAGCCAGGAATTCCTGGAAGGGCTTGGGGACGAAGCGACCAGTCTCGTCGAACCATGACGCGAAGGACTTTGAAATTTCGAGGGTTTTCGGTTGGCCGGTTTTTTCTTCCGAGATGACAGTTACGTAGTACGTCGGGTCGTTTTTCTTTGTGTTTGTGCGGATTGTAATCTACACTTGTTAGTATATATATCCATTGAAGGAATGAAGGCAACGTTGGGGACAACTTACCCGCTCCCCCGAAGGTGCCGTTCCTTGATACACAGTACCCTTCTCCACAGTCGACATCCAAAATGTAAGGAACCCATTCAGCAGGGCGTATATGGCAACAGCCGCAGCAGTGTAGTACTTTGTGTTGTCAAAGCCGAACTTGTAATCCCACCCGAAACAGGCGGCTGCGATGGCGAATGCACCGTAGCCCAGGGCCAGCCGTACATCGGTTAGGAAGTGGGATTGTTTAAATTTGAGGGAATTGAGGTAGTTGGGGAGAGCGTCATCGGACGTATTTTTGAGGTCTGACATGGGTTAGCTCTCGTGAATGACCTAGGGATGGCGCCATTGATGGTGGGATTTACCTGAAAGATTGTAGAGACTGATTTTTTCTGTGGCCATGATGGCGGTTGAGTCGGCGAACTGCTCGCGGTGAGGATGGGTAATTCGAATTGTTGAATAAAATGAACGTACGGCGAGGTGTCCTCCAGATGCCAACTGGTCCGTTGTGTCTAAGTCGGCCGTGGGGCTGGAAGGGAGAGCTGGCCTTAGCTGGAGCGTCAGCAAGCGGGTGGTGTGGGACCGTATCAGGAAGGCGGTGGCGGCAGAATCCGAAGCTCCACGGAAGGGAAGCTGATGCTCTTCTGTGCGTAATTGGCTCGACGATCCGTTCAACTGCTCCCAACCTCTGACCACATCCGCCTCCGTCCTATCGACAGTCGACGAGCGCTTAGGATCGCTCAATTTCTCCTCATTCATTCTCCTGCGAGTCGTCGGCTCGAATATACCGACGATGGCGCAACTCCCCGTGCAGACCCTACACCGGGATCCCCAGTTATTGTATGCTAAACACCTCCCGTCGCCAGTATCCAACGTCCCGATAGATATTAACGGCGTCGCAGCTACTGGATCCTGATCCCCATCACCGTCGTCATGGTTCTCACCGGAGTCCTCCGTCACTACGCCTCCGTCCTCATGGCCACCGCGCCCAAGAAGCTCGATGCCAAGGGCATGCGGGAGCAGCGCGCCTTGGCCCACGGCGTCACCCTCCGGTCAAACTATCACGTCCTCTCGCAAAAGGCCTTCGAGCAACGCCGGGAGACTCTGTGCGCCGGTTACGAGTCCGGTGCATACCTCAAGGAGCCGGATCGCAAGGGTCAGCCGCCGGCTAATCCGCTCACGGACCCTGGCGCCATGGACGGCATGATGGGCATGATGAAGAACAACATGGCCATGATTATTCCGAATACGCTTATTATGAGTTGGATCAACGCCTTTTTCAGTGGCTACGTCATCAGTATGTCTTACTGCTAATGGGAAAATAATGTTTGAAGGAAAGGGGCTGACTCGGCCTAGTGAAATTGCCTTTCCCTATTACCATCAAGTTCAAGAGCATGTTGCAAGCTGGCGTGCAGACCAAGGATATGGACCCCCGGTGGATGTCGAGTATCAGCTGGTACTTTCTCTGCATCTTTGGCCTCCAGTTTGTTTACGTATTTCTCCTTGGAAGCGACAATGGTGAGTGTACTCATTCTTCGATTTGCTGTGGCATGTTTGTGCTAATATCTCCCAGCCGCTAGTCAAATGGCGCAGCAAATGGCGGCGCAGCAAATGCCAATGAACCCTATGGGCGGTCCCGGACAGGACCCCGATAAGCAGTTCAAGACTGAGGCCGAGAATCTGGCCGTCATTGAGCACTACTCTGTATTGGACGACGTCGAAGAGCGTCTGCTTCAGGGTATCAAGTCGTAGATTCATGCTAGATGGACAAAACTTAATGTAGAAGATTCCGTACCGGCGGGTGTGCTTCCTAGTGCCTTCCGTGAACCTGTTATGCGCCATCCCACCACAGACACGCACCAAGGCCTTCACGGGCCATACTGCCCTTGATCCTGTAAGGCGTCTTGGCTGGAGCTTCTTCGCCTTGCGTTGGTCCAGCCGGCGTCTGGTCATGCCACTCCTCGTCAATGACTTGAAAACGGACCATTTCGTGATTATCGTAAAACAGCCTATCATCTTCCAGGTTCCAGATCCAAAGCTGCTCACTATGATTACTGTCGGCCGGTCAGTGAAACCATCCAACGCCACTCGCTAGCCCCCGAATCATCAGCCGTCGCACGAGAGACACTTACTACTCCGCACCCTGTGGCAGCTCCTCAAAGGGAATGAAAATGTCGTCAAAGAAATCCGTCCTCAAGTTAATGCCCGCAGGCGTAGAGCTCCGTATCCTGCCGAGCATGACTTCGCCCTTGAACGGACGAAACACCACCATGCGGAACTCGACTGGTTTTGGTCTCGTCAGCTAACCCTTAATACACGCGATGAGCGGCAAGCCTTCCCATACCATTGACATTGACCAGTCCCGTCCCATGACCTATCAAGCCCTCCGAGGTCCAGAGGACATCGTACAGACATATACACAGTCCAATCTTCTGAATGACCTACAAAAGCTGAGTTGGCATTTTTGCACCCTGAGTCAAGGTGGGATGGTGGTGAGCAAGGATGTACCTTGTTGGCATATTTTGCATTAATGTTATCTTCAATGGCGACTATGCTGTGTTTTGAAAAGTCCTCTGGCGCAATTTGCACCAGATCTGAGATTTTGGTCTTCACAAGACGGGTTAGCAGTGGTGTTTGGTGTCGCATAGAGGGACACTGGCTTACCAGGATGAACATTATCACGGACTCGTGCTTCAGGCTCCGACCGCGAACGGAAGAGGATCTCCAGCTATAGTATGTGCAACAGAGAATGCCTCTGTCCACCAGCAGTCCTTCCAGTCTGTGAAATATCGACAAGTCTGGTCGTGGTACAGAAACTCGTTTGCGCCCAGCCAATCAGGTCGTGGGAACGCCAGACATTCAAAATTAAGAGATCCTGGCTGTATTCTGCCCTGCACAACTCCCAGACCCCAACCTCACCGCCTGCTGTCTGTGTACGGAGCATTGCACACTGACTCGGGACCCACTTACGCAGGCTTTGCGGGCCCCCAATAGCGAAACAGTTCCAAAAGTTCAGGCACGAGGCTGACTTGTCCGTCCTCTTGTCTATTCCATCTTGTTCGCGGCGCTCAATCCTCTGACCGCCTCGACATCTTGCCCACCTGGTTATTCTTTACTTTTATCTTCCGCCCTCTCTTTCCAACTAGTCCACTTCTCAGTTTGTACTTGCATTCTTGCCTTTTTGTCTAGTTCAGTTTCATCTCAGAGTCTTTGTTGGAGTCTTTTGGTTTGCGGTTGCGTGTTTCTTGCTCCAAGATCTGACCGTCTACGCGCTCATTGCTCCAAGAGGTGGTTCGAATATCAACGACACAGATATCCCACTTGATCTCGTATCAGAACCCTTGCGATGCAATTGCTTGAACCCTCTGTTCAACACTGATATACAGACAAGTGTTCTGTCGGTAGCGCCGCAAGCTGCAGCTACTCCAACCTATCCCGTCGCCATGTCTGGTTACGGCTACGGTCCGCCTCCTCCTCCTCCTCCACCGTCAAGTTCCGGTTACTCGTCGCATCCGAGCGCTTCATATCCTCACAAAGGTCCAAATAGGGGAGGTGGGGGATTCCAAGGTTCTCGGGGTCGCGGCGGCCAGTATCCCCGTTCTCGAGACCACCATGGACCTTCTCAGGCTCCGTTCGAATATTCGGGTCAACCCTATCCACCACATCATCAGGCCTCCTACGGCGGCGCACATGCTCCTGTAGGCAGCTATCCGCCTCATCCGCCGCAATGGCCTGGTGAACATGCCGCTCATGCACCTTTTGGCACACATCCCCATGCCCCTGCACCCTTGTCTGCTTCCAACTACCACCCAGGTTATGGCCCTCAAGCATATCCAACAACTGCCCAGCATGCACAACCGCCATCATATGGCTCCGCACAACCATATGGGCAGCCATATCAGGGCCACCCAGTTCAAAATCCTTCGCATTGGAGTCTGCAGGGCCCTCCTCAACCGTCACACTACTCTAATAGTCGTGGACGTGGAGGGTATGGCGATCGTGGAGGCCCAAAGCCGCACGTAGCGGAACATGTTCGTCATGGTTACGGGCATGAACCTGTACCACCGGCTGTAGCGCCATATGGCCAGTCGTACCCTCATGATCTCCGTGCTCCTCATTTTCCTCCAGCGTCGTTTCCATATCCCGGCCCGCCTCCTGCACCACCCTCATCACGTCACGACGGCCATTCCGCCCACCCCTCAAGGAGAAATCGAATTGGTGGGCACAAAGATGGCTTCCGCGGCCGTGGTGGTCATCACAACAATCACCACAATAAAAACCGTGCTGGCAAGCAACAAAACAGTGACAATAATAAGCCCAAGACAGATACCCCCTCGGTTGGAAAGAAGAAGAAACGTAAGGTGAACACTCTCGGCCTAACTCCAGGGGTAGAATCAGAATCCGAAGATGATGAGGGTGAAGAGAAGATTCTCACGGATTTGATTGGTGCTGAAACTCTTCAGTAAGTCAGCCAATCATCCTTGTGTTTTCTTTAAAAAAATAAAAAAATATAAAAAAATAAAAAACCTAACCTTGCACTAACAATCGAACAGAATTAGTGACGTTGCTGCGTTCCTGGCTGAACGACGAAAGAATTATCCTACAAAAGCACGAGTGGAGGCAAAGAGAGCTGCCGAGGTGGCGCAAAAGGACGAAGCCAAGACAGCAGAACTCGAAAAGCAGGCGGACAAGCTGAGAAAGCAGCTTCGCAAGGTTGAGTTCACCATCAAGCGAAAGCGAGAGCAAGGGGACGAAGGAGATGAAATGAGGGACTCATCTGATGACTCGGATGACGAGAAGCCAGAAGTTATGTCTTCTCGAGTACAGACCGCACCACCACCCCCTCCTGCCAAGAAGGCGGATGTAACCCGTCATTGCAAGTATTATTCCACTGGCGGTACATGTGGGAAGAAAGGCAAGTGCCGCTTCGTTCACGATCCTGAGGTTAGGGAGGCAGCGATCAAGGAGCGCGAGGCCAATAATGGCCGCTTGACCATTCAGCAACGTTTGATTCTGAATGATAAGGACCAGGAGGACCTAGCCATTCTCCAATCCATCAAGTACCTGCGGCAAAAGGGAATAATGACATCTACACCCAATGGAACCGACGAGAAAGGAGGGGCCAAGGAGAAGGGGACAGGGCTGGACAATGAAAAGGACGACACCCAGACCAACGTGGCGCCAGTGCCTGCGACGTCTCGGTCAAGTCTACTTCCTGCTGCTCCGGCCTCTCTGCCTCCTCCACCCGTCAAAAGAGAAACCACCCCACGTCAAAATAATCCTCAGCCTTCAATTCTCCCTAGTGCTGACAGTGCCAGCGATTCAGGGGTGAAGCATTATGAAGGTTGGCTTTTACAGCCGTACGGTAGTTCGAATGAGGATAAGTCCAAGACGGACGATCTACCTTGATTTAGATTATGTATTACTTGATAACCAAAGTGTGTTAATGATATTTCTGTCATATCTGTAGAATTTCCTCGGTAGTTTTGCGTGAATCCCCAATTCAGACTGCATTATGGATGTACCCATGTACATGCACAAGCTCATGTACCTAATATATTCCCATAGTGGACATTCCTGAGCGCTTGCCTATCTCTCATTTTGAACGCCAGCTTCTTCTGCCAGTTGATGAAAATTTCGCTGTCAAAGGTGGACTTTCGTTCTTTGAAAGTAGACACATGAAGAGAGGCGTCATGACTTGTCAAATATTGTCATTCTACTGTCTTAATCCAACCGCTCTGATATCAACCCTCATGAATGCTAGCTTAACATAATGATGCACAACAAACTGAGAAATCATAAAAAACTCCGTCGCTAATGACCATGCCACCAAAGACGTCGCAAAGGCCCGTCTGAAACGCCATCTTGTCCAACTTCCAACCTTCACACTTGCTAGTTGTGAATAAACAAAGAAAGAACTTTGATATCCTGTGGAAATATCACATTGCTCCGTCGTGCGAACCTACCGTCTCCTTGCGCGAAGTGCCTCGATGGCTTTACGTTTCCGATCTTCCTTGGCTGCCTTGAGACTCTTCTCTAGACGCTCTTCCTCTTGGTCCTCCCTGCGGCCGATGAACTCGGCGCGGCGTTCTTCCTTGTCGAGTTCATCTAGGCCCGCTTCCATATCGGAGGAACCTTCCGAGTCGTAACCGTACCGAGGACCCCCTTCGTCCTCCTCATCGTCGTACTCGATGAAATCGTCTAGCTCCTCGTCGTAATCGTCTTCATACCGTGAGTTCTTGGATGTGCTGTGTCGGGGGGCGTTGAGCAACGCTCCACCGCGAGGTACATCCTTCTTCCCGACTGGATTTCCTGGCTTCGGCCTCGCCGTTCCTGTGTAACCTGTCGTGGCTTGGGCTGCCTTCTTGACCTTCTTGGTTGCCTCTTCCGCTGCTGCAGCGGCGGCGGCTGCTTTGCCACGAGCTGCGGGGACACGGGCACCGGCGCCCGGACGGTTGTCTATCGGACGACCTGGTGGCTGTTTGTGGCCGTTGACGCCATTGCGCTGACCGGGCTTCGATGTTCCCACGTAACCACCCACGTTTCGTCCCTTGGAGGACGTCGCAGGGGGTGGTTCGTCTCGAGCTTTCTTGATAGCGCCCTTCTCGACCTTCTTGTGTTGAATCTTGCCGACTTGACCCATGGTAGCTTGAGCCCGTTGTCCACGGGCCAGAATCTCGGCAAATGATCCCTTCTTCGGCGGTGCTTTGGGTGCGGCGGCCGCAGGCGACGGCGCAGGTGACGGCGCGGGGCGGCTTGGAAGACCCGGTTTCGTGGACTTGGGTGCCGAGCTGGCCACCTTGCTGGCAGGTGTGTTGCCAGGCCTTGCACTTCCAGTATACGGCTGTTGAAGATTCGGCCTGTCACCAGATGACCTTGATGTCTGACCAACACCACCAGACGAGGCCGCCAGACGTGATGCCTTTGGGCCATCTCCACGCAGATCGTCATCGGGTTTGCGTTTACTCGGAATCGAGTCGGTCCTTTTGAGGCCTGGGCCGGACGCAGCAGTCGACTTGCCGCCGCTGATTTGGGCTAACAAGTCTCCGATCTGGATTTTGAAATGTCAGCCGAGCTGTACCATGAGAAGGTGAGGATATCTTGGATGGGGGGGTGGAGCCTACCGGCATTGTAGCTGCCTTACCGGAAGCTCTCCCAGGTGAACACGAGAGCTAGTAGATTATAATCTGGCCTCTCTCGTAAGAGACCTGGATGTGATGGTATTATGTATCCCTCTGCTCTCTCGCCTTCTCTCCCGCAGCAGGCAAGCGTTGGTATTTATGCAACGCGAGGCATGGGAGACGTGGCGGGAGCCAACAAGCCTAATCTTGTTAAGCCAGCTGTTTGGTGAATCAACGTTTCTTAGTAAACCAAACGAATGCGAGGGGGTTGGCAAACGTTGAGGTTTCCAAACGGCGATGCACTGCTGCAGTAGAGAAAGATTCGAAAAAGGGGGAGGACGCCGGCTGTAAGCTTCAGTAAGCCACACTACAGAAAAGGCGAAGCAAACAAAAACAGAATGTTGCGCTGGCAAAGAGCTGCAGCAGCACACTTCCATGACAATGCGCTTGGGGGGCAAAAAAACGGCGAATAAAATACGCCACAATCCTCGGACCAAGATCGGGCACGTGATGCCTGACTTTTATGAGGTGATGGGAAGGTCTGTGGCGGGTGCGAAGCAAGATATATGTGGCTGGTGAGAGAGAGACATGGCAGGCATGGGCTTTGGCCAGTAAAGTACGGAGTACGTACCGCTGTCGGGGACCCCACATCAGTCCAATTTCGCCCTAACAATTTGCTCGCTAAATCACGTTTTTGTCGCCCACAGGTTTGCAAAATTGGCATGCCACTTTTGTGCGGCTCCGCCAACCTTTCTACCTGTTCAACTCCAACCACAACCTCACTGAACTCGAAGGCTTCAGTCTCCGCCCAACTTGCGGTTAAATTGATTGATTTCTCGTGTTTCTTGACACTTAACCTGTGAGTCCAACTCGTCCAATTCTGCGACGCTCGCAAGCCGTCCCAATGTAGCACGAATCCATTATCAATTCTGGCGCATTGCCGCGGATTGAAAAGTCGAGCTCAAAGTCTGACCAAGTTTTGCTACAACAGTCACCACATTCAAAATGAAGCACCTCGCCGCTTACCTCCTCCTCGGCCTCGGTGGCAACAACTCTCCTTCGGCCAAGGACATCAAGAACGTCCTCTCTGCCGTCGGTATTGAGGCTGACGATGACCGCCTGAAGACTCTCCTCTCCGAGCTTGAGGGCAAGGACGTCTCCGAGGTATGAACCAACCTCTCCTATACCCCGACACACAGCTTGGCGATGTAATATTAACCCTGTCCATAGCTCATTGCTGCCGGTTCCGAGAAGCTTGCTTCCGTTCCCTCTGGCGGTGCTGGCGGTGCCCCCGCTGCTGGTGGCGCTGCCGCCGGTGGTGCTGCTGCCGAGGAGAAGGCCGAGGAGAAGGAGGAGGAGAAGGAAGAGTCCGATGAGGACATGGGCTTCGGTCTCTTCGACTAAGCGGTTTCTTCGGAGAAGCCTGCAGGGTTACGACGTCGCACGAATTTCGGAAAAGTTGAGGTCGGGGAGTGCCACGGTTCTTCAATGTCTCAGGCGTAGGGGGAATTGGGCCCATGGATTGGGCTGGCGTGCTGTTTTTATAAGACGGGCGTGATAGACCCCTCGGTCCATGGAATTTACGGCTTGCAATTTTCTGAACTTTTGTCCTTTTTCTATGCAATGTGATGAAACTTGTGTGATGATGATTACATTCTGCCCCCCTCCCTTTTCCCCATATTAAGGTACCATGTCAGATGAATCCCAACGCCTCGCTAATGCAATAAACTAGATGCAATAGAATAAAAAAGACAATCAAAACTCCCCCGCTACCGCTTCATCCACGATGACGGCCGATAAGACGCCTCCTCCTCTCCTGTCCACGAAAATCTCGGCGGCAAGTGAGCATCTGCCATGGTAGCAGGATAACTCGGCAGGGGTGTATTTCCAGGATCTGGCGTCGTGGGCAATTCCGCAGGCGGCTGCCACTGCGGAGCGCCTTGATGGCCCTGCATTGTCGGATATCCCACAGGAGACATGTACGTGGTTGTAGGCGACACCTGGCTGTCAAGCATGTTAGTAACCCAGGACCACCAAGTATGGAAGAATGCACCGGAACCTAACATACCAAGTGTGCTGGACGCCGTCCCATGTCTGGGGGTCCATTGGGGAAACGGCATCGTTTTGGTTGTTCGCCATGGTGCTCGTCGACGCCCAAGACTGCTCCCGTTGCAGCACCGGGACCTGCGGCTGCTCAGGCTGCTTGGGTATGCTGAGCAGCCAAGGGGGATACGCCTCGTACACCACGGTGGACTTGGGCCATTTCTGCTCCTCCACGGCCGACAAGACATTTGCCGTGCAACGCTTGCACCCGAGGCCTTGTCTGCTGCAGAAGAGTGCCACCGACGCGGCTATCAGGACCACCACCGACGCTCCCACCCCAACGGCGATGACCACCAAGCAAATCCCGCCATAGGGGTCTTTCCTCTCACTCTGCTGGTTGAGCTGGGCGTTTGCGGCGGTACCTGCAATGCGCATGTTTGTGTGTCTTGGCAGCAGTGCAGGCGTTGTCAGAGACCTGGCTGCATCTCCAATCTGTGTATACATTGGGCGGTTAGTAAACAGGTAACAGGGCCCAAGACTATTAGCCAACCAAGTCATCTCACCTCCTCCGGTAGTATTATGCGTGGCACAACATCATGTGTTGTTTCTGAAGCCGGTAATGGAGATATTGAGGGTAGCAGGCTTGTATGTGATACAGAATGGTCGCTTGTGGACAACCCATTCGCATGGGCTGCGTCTCCAAGGACAGCCATGGAGAGCAGCAACTGTACGAGTAGAATAAAAGCCGCCATGTTGCTCCGCGCCAGCGCCAACTGTAAGCGACCTGGAGGGGGGGGGGGGGGGGGGGGAAAAAGAAGCTTGTAAAAGAAATTAACTGGCAAGCTGAATGCCATGTTTGTTGGTGGATGTGGTATATCAAACCCATCTATGAACGTTGGTCATGCGTGTCTCTCCGACCAAGTTGTCGACGATTTGCTTCGCAACGAGCTGGGGTTTAAAGGAGTTGCTATCTCCGAATGTCTGGAAATGGAGGCGCTCAGTCATGATTTGGGCGTCCAGAACGGTGTGGTCATGGCGGGGGGGGGGGGGGGGGGGGTTGTAAAACGAGACTTGCTCAAGGTAATTACACAGAAGGGGAAAACGCACAAAGCAGCACTCTTGACACGGAATCCCAAAAACCGCCATCGTGTTCGCAGCAAAGCAGACTTGGACTTATATAACCTCAACGCTCTCGCTTAATCCACTATCCCCCCCCCCTCTTCCTGTCTTCCTCGAGGCATCCAGATTCCCAGAGAGAGGAGAAATCCACGTGGTCAACGCGCAGTTTCACGCCTTTGATTGGTTTCATAGTCCCCAAGTGCATGCATATGAAGCCCTTCCTCAAGGGTCGCCAGGAACCCGTACCTAGGGTCAGCATTGTATCCACCATGGGGGAGGCAACTCATCAGCCTTCCCTTTGTTACTGGCCCTAGTCGTGAGGAAGCTCAGACCAGCAGTCAGCAACAAAGCCGGAAACGGCAAGTCGACTAGCCTCGTTTCGAGACGTCTTAATTCCCGCGTGCGCGCTTGATCAGCCAGAACGGATACATGTGCGTGCTAATGCAACGGGCGCAAGCGGCACGGGTGCATGGCATGAACCCGCGTGGAGAAGGACCCGGGGGGGAGGGAAGTGGGCTTTTGCATTGCATTGCAGCCAAGGCTACGCAGATGGATCGTGAGGTGCCGGATGAGGGTTTTCGAGGTCCCATTTCGAGACGAGGGGGCTGGGCTGGTTGCGCCGGGGGACATGTCTGGTGCTGATGGGATGCTGTTACGGGGTCTCAGGTACGGACAGAAGGGGGAAAGGAGAACGGCGATGGGCGACATGACCAGACTCGCGCAATCATACCGAGAGCCTCGTGACTATGGAAGCCTGATATACCATGTCGACAAGTATTGATATCACCGTAGGCCGTGTGCTCCACGACAGCCTCGTCCTCAGTTTCGTCACACCACCACGGACAAGCTCACACGCTTGACATTGCGAACCAACAAGCAATATAGTACTGCCCCCCCCTCGGTGCTATTACGCCGGCCGCGCTCCGAATCGTCCAAACTCCCATGCTTCAAACCCCCATGAACTCTCGCGGCCGCCCCCCCGGGCCGGCGCATGGCCAAGATCAAATGTTTCATCCTGCAACCAGCAACAAAGGCCTGCTGTGGAACAATCCTCACATCTTCAAACTAGGCAAACACATTGGCACTCGCGGGAGGGGGGCTCTAGACAATCTGGCAACAAGAAACGCAGAAGCTCACGTTCTCAAACGTCGCTGAAGCCGAAGCCAAGGTCGGGGTTGCGCATGCCTCATCCGCCGCCACTGTGGACATGCGTCCCTAAAAATACAAGAACTCGTGCCTCTATGCCTCTTCGTCTCTGTAAAGGAAACAATGCGCGTCCCACATCGTCCAGACAGCCGCCAAAGCTGCGAGTACTTTATCTTGCGTGAGCCTCGCCCGCGCCCAGATCACCCACGGGTCCCAGAACCGACAGCCCGGTTACGGGGGAAACCCGTGGGAGCAATTGCAGGGATATCAATTAATGGCCCCAAGTAGGAAGCAATCAAAGAAAGGGAATCGGATAGAGACGGGGACAAGTCTGGCAAGTGCGGAAATGGGAGCATGTCTAGGCGTGGGAAGGAAACTCGTCGTAGGCGAAGCGCCGTCTTCATGTGGTCATGGTTGGTCGTCGAGCTTCTTTGTCTGGCGAGCCGAGTGCAGATTATTTTCCAAGGTCCTTGAGGGATGCAGACAAAGAAGATTATTTCATCTGAGCGTACGTCCTCGTGCCTGAGCCATCAAATTTGACACGCTGGAACTCGAAGCGAAAGGAACGTAAGCGATTAGCCTGGATCGCGGACGAGACAGAGTGTTTGTAGACTCGGCTACAATTGTTGTAGTGGCTGAATCTGCTTCACGCGGCGGAAGACTAGGTGGTTTAAAATATCACATGCATCCTGTGAATCACCGGTGCTTGCGAGGCCTTTTTGCTTGCAGGTCCCCGGATGGGCAAATCTTGTGCGTTGCGCGCTGAAGTTTGAAAGACAATCGCAACCAACACTTGACGAGACGAAAGTGTGGGGGCGAAGTTGTCTTTGCTAGCTCTCCAACACCAAGCTAGTGTAGTATTCTATAACACATCATTAGCATCTCACCAGTTTTTTGCGCACAACTTGACAGGCAATGGCTACCATCCCGTATTCTATTGTCTCACCTACCCTATCCTCTATATGGTATTCATAGTGCAGCAAATTTCACTGCGTCTTCGTCTTTGGCGACTTCCATGCCACAAGGCCACTGTCTACCAGCAACTTCCAGAAACACCACAAATAACACAGCATGAAACCAGCACAACCGAGGCCGACATTGGCCACCACCCATAGATCCGGCTTATCAGCAGGAGGAGGCACAATGGCGTTGACGACATGCCAAACGCCCATGAAAATATAGAAACAAGCATGAATAGTGGCAACTGCCCACTGCTTGGATGCAGGCCCGGCCTCCATGAACGGAGCGGTCCAGCATGTCGGGGGCAGCCCTACAAGGTATGCCCACAACAGCGTCAACACAGTGTATGGAACGGCGAGATCTACCCTGCTGAGCAATGGGAACATAGTCCAAGCCCCGAGAAGGTTAGCGAACCCAACCCATGATCGCGTGTCGCCACTGAGTCCCTGTTTCCCGGCTAGCAGCAGAGTCATTGGCATCAAAGGAAGAAGGACACTCTTCTCATGGACTTGGTAGCTGAACAAGAAAAATCCCCAGGCAGTGGCAGCAAACGCTGACGGCAGCAGCTTCTTATCTGGTCGGATAAAGAGGACCAGGTTCGGGGGGATAATGGACAGGAGCGTGGCACCGAGAGCCGCCTTCTGCAACAGGTCGGAGGGAAGGTTGCGAAGTTTCACGACGACATTCATAGCGCACCAGAAGTTGGCCACTTTGTCCTCGAATAATCCTCTGGAGAAGGGGAAGATACGGTGGACCATCTGAATCATTTGCACTAATATAGCATAAAGAGCAGAGCGGGTATCGAGATATTGGGCAAAAAAAGGGAACAGTGGAAGCGGTGGCGGTGGTCCGTCCACATCAGGTCGTGAGTCGATTCCTCGGTGCCTATCGTACAGTGTGCCGATAATCAGGGGTAGGACCAGAACTGCAAACGAGGCAATCGTAGCCAGTCCAATGCCAATTAGCCGCACCATGTTGATTCTTGGCTGGACACATTTGCCCAAGAGGTAGGCGAATACGGAGAATGCGTAATAGAGTGCCATTTGTTTGAAGCCAAGCGCGGCCACAAAAAAGACGGCGGCCCATTTGTATCTTTCAGCCAACATGCTGTTAATGCTGGCGAGGACAAGACCCAGCATGACTGTATTGTATTGAAAATGAATATGGTCAACTAGGATCGTGGCGGGCTGCATTAAAATAGCAACGAGGGCGACGGAACTGGTCCAGGTAGCCACGCCACTTAGTCTGCTGTATCGTCGAGCAAAGACCACAGCGGCGGGGATGTAAATGAGATACTCGGAGATAATGACGGTTGCTCTCATGAAAATCTTCAGGTTTGGGTCGTCGGAGCCTCGAGAGGTAAAGAGTGCGAACCAAGCAGGCTCAATCAAGCCTCCAATCTTGCCCATAAGCCAGCTGTGGTATGCCGTAAGAGGCGGATAATCGAGCCCCCACCATTGCAGGTCGTGGAAATACCACTGTGAGATGGGAAGATGCGTTGTCACCTCCATCCAGTGTCGTTGCGCTTCATAGTCACCGAACATGGGAGGGCGTTGGAAGCCTACGCAGGACCAGAAGTGTTGTTAGCCTTAGTTTCGTACCATTGCTGGTTCAATCACGCAGTTTGTATTGCGTCGGCTCACCAGAATACCCCCAGAGTCCTGCGGCCCATCGAAACAAGCCAGCAACCATCAAAATCACCGGCAACACCTCCCATTGCGTAGATGACGTCCGGGCCGGCCACATAAACGCCGCCAGGGGGAAGGACGGGGCTCGAACCAAAGCTTCAGATCTCGCCCGGGCAGGCTTGTCGCTGCCATTGCCCTGCTTGAGCTTGCGCCTGGGCTTGTGAGGTGAAGGACTTGCCCCTGCCATGGTGACGGCGACGGCGCAGACGGGGTCAATGAGGGACGGCGCTCGTGATGCTCATCTGGAGAAGGGGTGGTGGTTGGAGCACGATGAATGTGGCTTCATAGACGAGGTGACCGGGTTTATGATTGATGTGGGTGGAGCTCGCGCCTTGGTCTGGCAAAATGTCTGGTCTGGTTGGATCCGGTCTTCTGGTCAAGCTGTACACAGCAAAAATGTCCGGTGCTTCTAGAAGCAGCTCAAGCTCAAAACGACAGACGTCGTAATGCGCATAGTGCGAGCTGCTCTCCCAGAAACAGTGCAACTCGCATCAATCCAGAGAGGCCAAGACTTTGCATTCCCACCGCACGAACAGTCGACCCTCTGCCTCGCCTTCGCTCTCGATGTTGTCTGAATTTCCGAGCCTCAATAACCACCGGCAGGGGGTCCCTCCATAAATCTGCCTCGCCCAAAATGCCCTTTCCCTTTGTTCTCCCCACGACATCCTCATTCTCTTTCTCCTCGTGTTTCAGCTGTGATTCACACCCATCGCTGCCATTGACCGCCAGTGGCCAACGAGGGGTAGTGAGAGATGCCCTGAAGAAGCACAAACGATCGCCGCCGAATGCACGCATCGGAAGTCTAGCCGCCGTCGTCTCCAGCATCGACGGGTATCTGCCGTATCTGCTCGCCGTGGACGCTGGTGTGAGCTCGCAGTGCTTGGACGCTGGTGAAGTCATAAGCGTTGTCTTGAAGACGGCGCCATCCATCAGCTGGAGACCAACATTGTCTGGCGACATTGTTCCCGGTAGAGAAAGGCCCCGTGTAAAGATCACCTCGTTGGAGTATGAAATCTTTTTTGTCTTGTCTTCGCTGGCATATGCGTATACCTTGACAGCCCGGTCGACGTTGCAGCCGTTGTACATCACCACGACGAGTTTCTTGGGCGCTAAAGAGAGGACGACTGCCATCACGGCGGCTACAAAGTACCTACTTGACGCCGCGTCAATCTACGACTACCTCTCTTTGCGGAGCGAGCAAATCTCCAGCACGGCACCATGCGTGGATGTTGCGCCTACTACGGCAAGGGCGCTGTCGTCGCTAGCTCTAGCAGAAGCGACACTGCTAGCCGTGCTCAAGGATGATCCGTATCCGGCAGCGGTAGCCCAGGATCGTAACAAGACGGATAAGGAGTGGATGTTTAAGGCCCCCGATATTCCCAAAGTGCGAGCCCATCTTTTCGCTCGCCTTTGTCTCGCCGCGTCTGAGCACGCAGCCAAGGCCTCCTCACTGCTACAATCTGCAGGCTCTGGTACCAACAAGGTGAACCCAGTGCTTCTGAAATACTTGGAAGACCTTCGTCGCACAAGTAGAGCAAAGGCTTGCAGATTTTTCGGCATTGACGCCGAGCTAGGTGGGCAGACTGCCGAAGGCATTGGCTGGCTGCGGGTTGGTCTTCAGGAATTAGGTATCGAGGCCAAGGAGGCGAAAAAGGGCTTCAGTTTGAGCAGGTTAAAGAAGGATATAAGTGAAAAGCGAGAGGACCGTCGTGTAGAAAGGGAGACGGATTGGGGCTCGGATGCAGGTAGGCTTGAGGAGACGAGGATCATTGAGTTGCTTGACGAAAAGTGGAACAAGATCAATGACACTGTGAGTATGCCACGAAAATGGGTTCATTATTCGCGAGCTAACATGTTCCCTAGATGAACACAAAGGCCATCCCGCCAGTCAGCACTCTCCTGCCTAAAATGCCTTCTGGCCGAGAGATTCATACCGTCAAACCATATCAACCGCCCACGCTGGATCGAGATGTTTTGGAAGCCATGCGGTCACTACCCGATAGAGAAGATGATCTTGGTGATATGAGCTCTGACGATGACGCCAAGGGACCATCCGCGCCGGCTGGCGCGTTCCCAGGAACATCAGCAGAGTATGGCGTGAATCGCAGCGGCAGCGGGAACGCATACTATTAGTCATAATATCAGGGCCTACTTCACGTTACTCGATACACTAATCATCATCTAACTATCCTGGCCCGGCTCAACCCCTCGTGTGTTCCCATCAGCATTCCCATCACCAACCCGTCATCCACACATCATCCTAAGCATCAGTTGTAGTGGCCACCCGAACAGGCGCACTTGAGGTCCTCATCAAGCTTGGACAAGAAGGCTTCATTATAGCAAGTGGCCGACAATCGGGGACACACCTAGACTGCTTAGCTGGGAACGACCGTCTGGATAGCAATGTCTACCCACCCCGAACACGTACCGCGAGCCACATTTATTTTCCGCATCGGCTCAAATAGCAAGAGTCTTGCAGTCATCTACATCCCGATAGTAGGCTGCGCGGAAGAAGTGGACGTGTGAGTCGTGCATAGTGGTATGGCAGGCCGAACCTGAACGCATGGGTCATAACACCTTCATTTGGTCAGCCAAGTTAAGTAAATAGCAGGAACAGGAAGAACAAAATGTGTGGTAATCCAGCAACAATATAGAAATTTTCTTGTTTGGGACAAACAAAGAAAAGAAATGGAGAGTTCTTACCTTGACCATGGCTGTCCGCAAGCATTGATCCCTTCGACACATACCGTGCGACACCGTCGTTGAGGACTCTCTGCATAAAGAGACGCAGCAACGCCGCCGCCCAATGCCAAAAGCCCCAGAGTACCTATAAACTTCATCCTGCGTGATGAAACAAAATTCTGTAGTAGCACACAAATGCAACAGAAAATGGTCAGCCTGGCACAGAGTGCAAGATCAGCCACGCTTATATATCTCTCATGACGAATCTAATACTGGACAAATTCCCCCGGCCAACATGAACATCATGCCGGCTACACGCGTCGCAAAAACCAAAATAATCGCACAGCTAAATCATGCCATGTCAACGAGTGATTCATCAGCTGGGACTCTTGTCTACACCGTTCAACCTAGCTTGTAAGCTTCAAGTTAGAAGCTAGCTAGCAAACCCAACTACCTAGGTAGCTGACAACAAGACTGTCCTTCTCAAGTTTCAGTTTAATTTCCTAGGTGGGTGGGGTCAATCAATGACAAGTCTACATTCATGCGTTCCATAGCTACCAATCTTGACATACCATGTTGTGGTAGGTGAGGCAGCAACTCGAGTCCGAACTACTTCTTGGCAAAGGGCGATCAACCGACACGCGCCGACTCCCCGGTCGATAACGCGGTCCCGAAGCGGCGACGAGCGTACCTACCTGGGTACTTAAGTAGGTAGGCATGGGCCGCCAAGCCATTGGACAATGTGCTGTACAAACCGTCAGCAGTAAAGGTGTTTTAATGCCAGTTTTTGGTACATCGATTATAGTATAAATCTTGTTATTTCATGGCAATGTCGTGTCGGACTTGTTGCCACCCTGCGTGGGCCCTGAGAACGACATCGGGAGTATACGGCGTTGAAATGACCTAGTCTGTTGCCACATACTGCCACCTCCTTGGGTGCCTCCATGTAGGTACCTAGTACGTAGGCATGTTTTTGGGTTTCTTCCACGAACATTGATGTGGCTATTAACGGCAACACTTGACATCTACACGTCGCTTAAAACAAAAACAATCAAATGTGCCATCAACAGCCTCACTCGACACATCTAGAACGCTTCTCTGCCGAGACTGGACTAACGACGGGGAGACTCAAGGGGGAAAAAAGGACTTGCTGGTTATTCAAACAATAAGAAAAATTCTCCAAGTTGCTGCTGCCTATCGACATAGACGTACACTACTCATGCTTGTACACAGGGGCCGTGTTTATCCCCTCTCTACACCTCCACATCTACGACCGTATTGATTCCGCCGAAACTGCCCTAGACACCTTGACAAAGTAAAGATAAATGAAGCCTCCATCAATTCATACCCATTCAACGAGAAACCTTCACACCGCTTACGCGAAAGCCATCTGTTTCTTGATCTCGGCGATGGCCTTTCCGGGGTTCAGGCCCTTGGGGCAGGCACGGGTGCAGTTGAGAATAGTGTGGCAGCGGTACAGGCTCATGTTGTTCTCCAGGTTGGCACGACGCTCGGCTGAGCGCTCGTCTCGGGAATCAGCCAGCCATCGGTAAGACTGGAGCAGAATAGCAGGCCCGAGGTATTCCTCCGAGTTCCACCAGTATGAGGGGCAGGATGTTGAGCAGCAGGCACAGAGAATGCATTCGTACAGACCGTCCAGCTTCTTTCGGTCCTCCTTGCTCTGACGGTATTCCTTGCCCTGGGAAATCGTTAGCTAAACCAATTGTTTTCGTCCCCGCAGTTGCCGAGAGTTTCAACCTACATCAGGGGAAGGAGTGTCGCGCTGCAGGTAAGGCTTGATAGACTTGTACTGCTTGTAGAAGTAGGTCAAATCGGGGACGAGGTCCTTGACGACGTAGGTGTGAGGCAGTGGATACAGCTTGACTTCGCTGGAACTCTCGGCAGGGATTCGGCCTGTATACTGGTGGTCAGCTTCATTCCGTCTGCGTAGTCTCCTACACAAGCCGAGACAAGTCTGGGATATTACGAGTGCAGCGCATGATGCGGTAATAATACGTACACAAGCAGGCCAAGGTGTTCTGGCCGTTAATGTTCATGGCGCAGCTACCGCAGATACCCTCACGGCAACTTCTTCGGAAGGTTAGGGTAGGGTCGAGCTCGTTCTTGATACGGACAAGGGCGTCCAGAACCATGGGTCCGGTCTTGTTCAAGTCAATGGTATAGGACTGCATTCGAGGCTTTTCGGTAGGGGTATCGGGATTCCATCGGTAGATCTGGAAGGTCTTCATGTTCGGAGCCTTCTCATGAGGGACCTCGCTGACAGAGGCCATTGAGCGTGTGAAGACAGCGCCAGGGCGCATGGCTGTCCTGATGGACGAGCCAAGGATTCGAGAAGAAGTAGAGCGGAGAGCAGCCATTTTCGCGACGCCTGAACGGTCAAGTTGGCGAGCGACGAGAAGAAACAGCAGAGAGAGGAAGTGAAGCGACAACCGCTACTGGAATCAGGGCGGACTTGTTCAATTGGCACCAACGAATCCGGATTTCCGCCGCTCGTATCGCGCCGTTGGAGCTAGGGAGAGAGATGTAGAATGTTGGTGTTTGGTGTGTGTTTGCCCATGAAATTGGGAGTCGAAAGTAGTAGCCATCCTCGGCTACTGGGACGCTGGACCGCAAAGCATCCGGCAGCCAATCAGAGCCGCGACATTGTCAATTCGGCTAAGAAGGAGAAAGCCGGGAAGAGGCTTGTGACCGCCGGGTGAAGGGCGGATAACTAATTTCATGGCCACGCCACCCAGTGCACCCACGGGTAGGTCTTGGGGTCTGGGGTTCCGGGGAACTGGCACATTAGGTAAGGCAAGTCTGTGATTGGGCCCACTACGAAACTCCCAAAGGTTGTACAGGCATTCGCCGGGCCAGATGGGAGGCCTGTAACCCCCCAAGCGGTCCCCTATTCCACCACAGCAGCCACCTGTAATCCTTGGCCCCCAGGCTCTCCAACCAACTTACAGCACCCCACGTATCAACTCCAGGCCCTCAATTGACATGACCACTTCACACATTGGCATCGACGGCTCAAGCCATGGATACCGTCGGAGATAATAGTATTGATATCTCGCAACCCCAGATTTTCCTAGCCCTTGTGCGCGCGTCGTCGATGCAAATTCTCACCAGGCCCATCATGGCGATTCTTCTCACCTAGGCGCTTGCAGGCAGCTGGGCAATCGCACGAGCATATTTTTGTTGGTCCAAAGGCTCAGCCGTCGCGCATTCCGACGCCGAACAGTTGTGCGTCGAAATTCCTCTTACCCAACCCAGATGGCTGCATTGAGCGCCAGGGTTGCGTCCGCAACACCATGGCGGGCATCACTTGGAGGTAATGGCACCCGAATGTGCTTTTCTCATAATTTGTGGCACTTCTTTCGCTCACAATGAATCGAGCTGACCAGTCTACGGTTAACCAGTCTCTTCTCTCTCTTGTACCACGCACACCTACGCGCTGACCATGCGCCAGCCAACACCAGACGCTCCCCGAATATCGCCATACTCAACATCCTCAGCATCGTTCCCAACATCCCCCCGATTCTCATACCACATCGCCGCCTCCTTCATCGGCAAAGACCGTCCTTACGACCCCTCCACCCATGTCTTCCACTTCAACCCGTACAACCGAATCCAACCACCCCGTCACCGGCGGCGCTCCTCCCGCCCAGACTCGGGCCACGATGCCTTCTTCGTCAGCCGCATCAACGACTCCGGCTCCGTAGCCTTCGGAATCGCAGATGGCGTCGGCGGCTGGGTTGACTCGGGCGTCGACCCGGCCGACTTCTCGCACGGCTTCTGCGACTACATGGCCGCATCGGCATACGAGCACGATCCGGCGAACAACAGGCCCTTGACAGCGAGGAGACTCATGCAACAGGGATACGACGCCGTGTGCAACGACCGCTCACTACAGGCTGGCGGTAGCACGGCCTGCGTCGGAATAGCAGCCCCAGACGGGACGCTGGACGTGGCCAACCTGGGCGACTCGGGGTTCCTGCAACTTCGTCTCAACGCCGTAAATGCCTACTCAGAACCACAAACCCACGCATTCAACACCCCGTTTCAGTTATCCCTCATCCCGCCAAGCGTCGCCGCGCGAATGGCGGCTTTTGGCGGCGCGCAATTAAGCGATTTACCCCGCGACGCAGACGTTTCCCAGCACTACGTCCGCCACGGCGACGTGCTCATGTTTGCCACCGACGGCGTCCTAGATAACCTCTTTAACCACGACATTCTCAAAATTGCCAGCCGCGTCATGGTCTCCAGCGGCGCCTGGCAAATGACCCCCTCCGGCGGAGTCCGCGTCGCCGACTCCATCGATTCACTTACGAGGCCCTCGAGCCTTGGCCAGGCTAAGCCCAGCGGCAAACCCTCTAGAACCGTTACTCTGCAGAGTCTACTCGCCACAGAAATAGTTGGCGCCGCGAAGACGGCTAGTGTCAACACCAAGGTCGACGGGCCGTTTGCAAAGGAGGTGCAGAAATATTATCCCCATGAACAATGGCGCGGCGGCAAAGTCGATGACATTTGTGCTGTGGTGGTTATTGTCTCAGAGGACAACAGCGGACCTCGCAGCAAGCTCTAATTATGCCGAAGGATTGCATTTTTTTTTTTAAAGAACATGAATCCTTCTTTTCCTTTACTTGGTTTGGTCTGGATTTAGGCATGACATAGAACTATCATAGAGGAATGCGCAATGCAACATTTAGCTTTTGGTTAATGCATGGTTCGGCGGAGACAGGCATGGGGCTTTGGGGTGGTATGCGATGTGAGCGTGTGTCAGGCATAGTTGGTAGCATGCATATATTGATTGATGGTAATGACTATTTGAGACGTCTTGTCTCCTTACATCGGTTTTAGTCTGGCGCTGCGTGGTCCTGCAAGTTGATGATGTCATTATATCGACCACAATCACACTACCTCAACCACCTCACGGGGCTTGATCACCGTGAATAGACATGTCGCCCGTACATGCAGACAGATACAACGCATTCTACGGCAGGAGAGCCATGGTATAATGGATATATACGCCGTACATGCCCCAACACTACCGCCCCATTACACACAATCTAACGCCTCCAGGCCGGCGCCGTCGCCGCATTCACCGTCGACGTCCTCGTCTATCCGCTTGACACCCTCAAGACTCGCTACCAAAGCCAAGACTACCTCTCAACATATGGGACTTCTGGTCGGAAAGCACTGGCACCCAGGGGCCTGTACCAAGGGATAGGGAGCGTGGTCCTGGCCACACTCCCGGCAGGTATTGTTCCAACAAACGCTCGCCCTCATCCAACGCGCATGCTTACCTTTGCAGCCGGCCTCTTCTTCTCAACTTACGAAAAGGCCAAAACTGTCATCGGCAGCCTTCCCCTGCATCAATCCCTCGTCCACGCATCCGCCTCGGCGACCGCCGAACTGGCATCGTGCCTGGTCCTTGCTCCCGCAGAAGTCATCAAGCAAAACGCCCAGATCCTCCGTGAGGACCGTACCAAATCACGCACGTCTACGTCCCTTCAGGCCTGGCGACAACTTGCCGCTGGCGACGCGCCGAGGAGGCTGTTCACGGGGTACACGGCGCTTGTAGCGCGGAACTTGCCATTCACAGCACTGCAGTTTCCGATTTTCGAGCATCTGCGCTCGTGGGCCTGGGAGAAGAGACGTCAGGGAGGCAGCAAGGAGAGGGGGCTCCTGGAGACGGGTTTGATAGCGGGTGCGAGTGCGGGCGGCGCCGGGGCTGTCGCGGCATGGGTCACCACGCCGAGTGATGTGGTGAAGACGAGGATGATGCTCACGGCGGGCAAGTCGGATCGTCGGAGCGGCGAGGGCGGAGGGAAGAATGGGAGAGTGACCTCGTGGACGGTGACGAGGCAGATCTACAATGAGCGAGGGCTCGTGGGTTTCTTTCGCGGGGCGCTGTTCCGCTCTGGGTGGACGGCGTTAGGGAGTTCATTGTACTTGGGGACGTATGATGGCGCCAAGCTGTGGTTGCGGAGGAGAAAGAGCGCTGTGGATGGCGACGATTTGACGGTGCTGTGATATCATGAGGGGACTGTTCGCCGGGGATGGAATGTTTAGCCCAAAGTAGTTGTAGATCGGCTTGGGGGATTGTGAGTTGGAGTTACAGGCGATGTACAACACCACGATGGAAGCCAATTATAGTATTGAGTGAGTTCTGTAGAAGTATAACAAGTGACGTGGAAAAACCTTTTATTCCACATCTGGAGATTATGTCTACCTTGTGATGGGGCGAGAAAACAACCTAGTCATACGACCCTCCTGCTCATGCTGACGTAGGAAGAGCACTCGCCAAAAGGAAGTATACAAGATAACTTGACAGATCAGCGATGTTACCCTGAGGCTACTCAGTGATGAGGTGGCTCGAATCGCATCGTACGATATGTCTGCACCACGTCAGTGGATAAGTGCACTTGGCTCGTAGCTGTATTCGAGATTCGAGGTACATAGAGGTGTTGGAGAAGAGGCTAAGCAGGTCCAAAGGTTCCATCCAAGTCACGGGGTCAAGATGCCAATGTGCCGAAAGACTAACATGGATGTGTTGACCAGATCCCGAGGACTCCGGCATCTCGAAATGGATCCGTCACTGTGCATTAGCTTCTAAAGTTGGCTAAAGTTGTCAAGTGGCTGCCCCGCAAAGTAACCGGATGGCGTTTTCGCCCAAGTTGTTTATTACCAGTCATTTAAACAACGGAGAGCTTTATAAAAATTGCTTTTTGTTTTCGGTTTCTAAAGCGAATAACATCATGCTCTGTTATTCTTGTCTGACTGCCTTCGAAGTGCTATACAGACAACAGAGTCCAACACAACTATGCTATGTTATCAGACTTTGGACCCAAAAACGGGTGGTAGGTACTCTGACATATCCGAATATCAATTGATTCTTGCTATTCGTCATGCTCGTATATTGTGTCCGTGATTTGAGACCGAAATCAGGCTCAACTAAGACATCCGTGCTGATCGCCCTCGACGATCAACATGAACCGGCCGAAGCGCATTGATGTCGGATCGTAAGGGCGGTTGAGATCGTCCAACCACCCATGACTCAAATTGTGCCGCCCAACTGCCTAGCTAAATCCTCAATGAGCCGTTCAAAATGTCCTATTCCGGGACATCGCCCTTGGAATTGTGGCGCTTGTCTGAGCCCTCGAGCCCTTTCGCAACCATGAATCGCTCAGCATCCCGCGAGTGTGGTCACTTAAACAAAGATACAAAGTATCTATCCCTCATTAGGTCATCTAAAATTCACACTTGCGCATGGATGGCGCTTTGTGTGCATCGTAGCTTGGTTTTGACGGGGAATGGTAGTATTGGCCGGCACAGTCATGGCCGATCTGAGTCGATCCGTTTTGTCTTCAATCTCTCCTTGGCGTGGCCTCAATATGCAGCTTCGCATTTCGAATATAACAAAGTATAGTTTCAGACAGCGTCGTCGATCTGTGTTGACTAGAGATGTTGCAGTCGAGAAGCCATCTATATAGCTGCCGCACGCTTCATTCGTAATCATAACTTCGCTCGTCCAAATTTGCGAGGCTTCTTGTATTGTTATCCCACTTCTCAAGTTTTATCTATTATGAGAAGCAGCCTTTCACTTTTCAACATGATGTCAAAGCGTTCAATGGAAGGCTTAGCCTCGTACCTAGCCTTCGCTTCTTTCTTCTTCGCCAAAGAAGTGCAGTCCGCTTCCAAGGCACAGTACACCCAGGATGCATCTACTGCCGTCAAGGCTCTCAACAGCAACTGGTACAAGCAAGACACCGGTCTATGGGATGGCGCTTGGTGGCAAAGTGCCAATGCCCTCACAACCCTCGCTGACTTTGCCATCTTGCAGCCCGACGCCGCAAATTCACTGGGCATCGCCAGCACTATAGGCAACACAGTAAAAAATGCCCCCCAAAGATTCCCCGGCTTCATCAACCAGTTTTACGACGACGAAGGCTGGTGGGCCTTGGGGCTAATTCACTCGTACGACGCAACACGGGATGCGAGCTATCTTGAAACGGCGGCCGATATTTTCAACAATATGCAAACCGGTCGCGGAACTCCTTGCAAAGGCGGGATTTTCTGGAGCAAGGATCGCAAATACGTCAACGCAATTGCCAACGAACTTTATATTACAGTTGCCGCTTCATTGGCTAATCGCATTCCCACCAACCGAACGCACGCTCAGATTGCAATAGATGAGTGGCACTGGTTCCAGAAGAGCGGTATGATTAATAGCGGGAATCTGATTAATGACGGTCTCGATTCAAACTGCGAGGACAATGGCTTACAAACTTGGTCCGTAAATCAAGGTGTAATATTGGGGGGGTTGACCGAACTTTCAAGAGACTCTCTACTGGGCGCCGGTGTCCTTGACACTGCCAGAACTTTAGCCAAGGCAGCCATCAAGGCGCTCTCCAATAAGGACGGCATTCTGGTCGAAATAGATAATTGCGAGACGCAACAGGACGCCTGCGGATTCGACGGCAAGCAATTCAAGGGAGTTTTCGTCCGAAACTTGGGATATCTGAATCAGGTTCTCAAAGATGGAGATATCAGGGCTTTCATCTTGAAGAACGCTGACTCAGTATGGAACAAAGACCGCGATCGCTCTAACAAAATGGGCGTTGCTTGGACAGGGCCTGTCATTGCTACCAATGGCGCCTCTCATGGGAGCGCTCTGGATGCCTTGGTGGCGGCAGTCCGAGTTGCCTAAATCTCATATCGACCCTCGGCATGTACTTGTATCATTTCGGCATTTCTGTGTTAAAACTGAATTATGTTTTCATGGAGTCCGGTCGACGCACTTTCGAGAAGATGAGGGTACAGCTGAGTTCGGAGGTTGGAGTCATCGCGATGATTCGGAGACTGCTGACCGGAGAAAAGAGTGCAGAAGAGAGTGTGGCAATCTGAAGATACCAATGGGGAGGACGACGCCAGCCCTAGGAATTGATGAAGGATGAGCAAGGGCCTCGGAATATTCCATGCTGCATGACGTACTGCAAAAAAAATTAGAAGCGCTCGAACGGACAGTTATGGCCCATTGTTTCAGTTGATAACTAGTACTCCGTAGCACTTACATTTCTATCATTTGTCTGTGGATTCTCGCGTGGCTTGTGCAATTGCCTATTGTGAAATGGTGTGATGGTGTCATCCAGGGTCAAGTGTCGTGCCGGCGGCAGGACCCACAAAGACGCAATCTAACGTCTAACTGGGCCGCAATGAGCCGGGCACGCCAGCGTGCAGGAACCCGGTCACCGGGCTTGACGTTTGTATTTGATCGGAATTCTTGAACCGAACCTAGATCCATTACCGCCGGACGAGGTAAAGAGCACTCGACAGGAGTAGCAGAGGACGTTGCGTCCTCACGGTGTCTGTCGTTCATCCAACGGCGACGGCAGTTCGCACCGGTGTCGGCCTGAAGGCGAGTGTGACTGACGGCCACTCAAGCTCTCGAGTTTCATGGGGGATCCGCCAAGCCACCCGGCACGGATCAATTTTCTTGACTTTGCTGGCCCAAGAATTGCGAAATATCCTACTCCAACTGCCTCATCGGTACTAAGAGCTCAATCAGCCACGGTGACTGGTCAGCTGATACAAAGTTAATCCCTGCCCCAGCGCCATGCGGGTTGCCTTGGGGAGGTTTGCTGACATTCCTGAGTCCTAGCTTCTCGTGTCGTTATTTCTGACGAGGATTTGCCATGCCAAAGCGGTGTATGCCCAGCAAATGTTACTCAGTTGCTGCTGCCAGGTAACCCTCCTTCCGTCTTGTTTAAATGACAGGAGTATTTCCCACACATTTCCCAATGTCCCTCTCCTTTTTTACCTTCCCTTGTAGACCATTCGTTTAGTAACCTTTACCAGCGTTCGGCGTAATTGCGTGGTTGTTCTTTTATCATTCTTGCCTCTTCCCCCAAGGCCACTCCCGTTGTAAAAGTCGCTGTTGAGACACCCCGCTCTCATCAACATGGCTGCTCAAGGAGTGAAAGCTGCACTGCCCGCTGACGTCCCTAGTTTTACCAAGGAGAAGGACGCCATTTCTGCACTTCGCAACCAGGCATTGACTGAAAAACGGTTTATTGTTCAGTCTCCCTATGTTGACGCCGAACATCTCCTAGACTTGGAATCACTCGACAGTGAAAACGGCTTTATTTCGCTGGCCTTAGCACGCCTCCGGGCTGTTCGTGAGGACTATGCAACCGCGCCATACACTGAGTCGTTCAACTGGCCAGAGGTTCTCGACGAGCTGAAGCAGCTCGTTAAAACCTCTGGCAAGGGTTTCAAGGAGACGTCATTCTATATCGTCGCCTTTCGTTCTCAGATCAAACCCAGCACCGATTACAGTCATCTTGGTGAACTGGATAAAGCTGCACATGCCGAAGCCATTGCCAGTGGAGGCTTCCTCAAGTACGTCTGCAGATTGTTTAAATCCACCCGTTGCCCATCGTGCCAATGCTGACTTGAGTATAGATACTGGTTTGGATCACCTGATGCTGAACTGCGAAACCTGGCCACCTGTGTCTGGAGATCCCGAGAAGACGCTTTAGAAGGTGGGAGGGGTCCGGCTCATCGTAAGGCTGCTGGCGCCACGCGTTCTCTTTACGCCTACTGGAAGATTGACCAGCACCGTTTGACCGTGCGCGACAATGTTGACGGCTGGGAAATCACCGAATGGGAGTAAAGCTGGAAGCTGCATCACCTAGTTAGTGGTGCAACAGCAACAAAGAAAAGGACTGTGAAGAATCATGATAATGGAAAACTTTGGAGGTTAGCCAAGCAGACGTCACGATTGAGATATTGATTATTGCACATAGCGGGCGTTTGCGATGATTTTCAGCGCATTCTGAAGTGAGCATGGGTGGAGTAACGGTTGCGACTGCAGTACTGAGCAACTTGACTGATTGATGTATACCTGATAGCAAAAGATATCCTATTCGTCTAATATTAACAGAAACTGATGGCAGCACTTATCTGCAGCTAATGTCGTGTGTAATTTTGATGACCGCAGCTTGTAATCTCGTTGGTGCCCAGAGCGAGTG